CTGATCTGCTGCTCAGTGAGCTTACTATATATGGCGCCTTTTCCATATTTTGGATACTTGCTCTTTGTTCTCTTTGTCGCGCCTGTGACCGGTTTTGTCCAGCCCCAGGTCTGCGTTTCTTTAACTGTCCGTTGCTGAGTTGTTTATAGCCGTGGGATCTCCGTCGTCACGCGCGTGTCCCATCCGGAGTCATCCCGTGCCTGTTCGCCTCTAAGCGGCATCCCGTGCCGCAGCTTCCCAAGGCCTCTGCTGAGGCACCAGGCCTGTATTTCTCTGTGCTGCGTTGTTAGGTTAGAGTCATAAAACCTGGGTGGTATTCAGAGATAAACAAAAGTGAAATGCGTTGGCCATAGCTACCTGGTCGGTTGGAAAATTTGCTGTTACAGCTAAACCAAATGAAACAAAGCTTTACGTAGGTCAAGAGAAGTTCAGACAATAATCTGGCAAGCCTCCGTCCAGAGATGGTGCAAACTCGGTAGGAACTCTGTTACAGAGTTTCAACACTAGAACTAGAGAGATATTTGGCATATTATACTGCATGAGCTGAGGATGAGGATGACTTTTAAATAAATAATGTGACAAAACCTAATAGCTCAGAGTGGAACAAGTTGATAATCACATGGAGTAAGAAAACAACCCTATGGGCTGGGACCTTGCCAGTTGATTTGGAAAGAATTGATGAAGAAAAGGGCTTGTGAGTAATAATCACTGATAGGGGAGGAAAAAAAAAAGTCACCTGCAAAAGGCAGCTGGTGATCCTAGGGTGTGCTGCATACACCAGCTTCAGTAGGGCTGGGAAAAATTGACACTGGTGCTCCTGGATGGAACTTCATCCAGAATTGTGCATATTGTTACGGAGGCTTGCGTTCAAGGGGGTCATAATTCAGATTGCAACAGATGAAGAAAATAACTCAAGGAAGTGGATAAGCTGCATGTGTTTACTGCATGAGCACAGATAAGAGTGAATCTGGCTTGCACTGAGATGCAAAGGTATAAGAAATGCACTGGGAGCACTCCATGATGCTAGTTTGGAGACAGCAAGCCATGTCTATAGGGCCTGGTGTTGGAGGTGATAAACCTTTGGGGCTTTTTAGGTCAGAAGTGACACTGTATGAACATCTGTCATATTTCTGGGTCCAAGAGGATGTGTGTGCATGGGACAGTGCTGCGCTGTGTGCATGCAGATTGGTCCTTAGTGGATTTGGGAGCTCTATTCTGCAGGCCCTGGAATAGGTATTTTGTTGAAGCGTTGTTGCATTTAATACAGAGAATGAGGAATTTAATGAAGAGTTTCACGAGGGATAGAAGTGACTGTACAATAGGGTCAGGAGGTATTGCAGGATTTGGAGTGGGAGACTCGAGCTCAGCTCCAAAGGCCCTTTAAGCTGCAGACAGAGTGTGACTGGGGTCTGACTCTCTGGAGCTCAGTGTACGACTGAGCTTGCGCACAGACAGCTGATGAACTCATCCAATCTCTGATCGCCTCCCAATTTTTCATTTTCCTTTCATTTTTGCTAGCTAACAGAGATTGATTGTGAAATCAACTGTTAGATTGAAGTAATTCCTGCGCCTCAATTTTGTTGCCACTTGCTACAGTACATTTCAGCTGTGCTTCAGTCCTCACCTCATTACACACTTCATGTTTTTGTAACACTGTCTTTTTTTAGTGTTTAACTCTCATTAACTCTTCCTGTCTTCCCTCCTTCTTGTTTTGGTGCCCTTTTCATGATTTTAGCTGTATTTTCTCATACCTACACTCCTCTTTTGATCTTGCCCTATCTCAATTGTTTGAATTATTTTAAACCCACTTTTCTCTCTCTCTTTACCTTTTCTCTCTTGTTTACTGCAGCTTTTCCCATCCCAGATGTCTCTTGTCTTTCCTTTTTTTGTTTGTGACTCTTCCTTTTCTCTTGATTGTAAATACCACTGCCATTTCTTTAAATGCCTCTGTCTTGCTATGTTCAGTGGGTGTCATACAGCATTTTAGAAACAGTATCTTGACACAGTATCTGGTTCTTACGACGGAGTTATGTGGAAAAACTCATTACAAAAATCAAAAACATCAAAGCAGCATTCCTTTTGCATGCTATGAAATACCTACTTCTTATTTTCAGTTAAATTTTTTGGCAGTACTTTAAATCAATGGTGAACTGGAATTAAAAGCAAAGGTTGAACTGGAAGTGTTATCACAGATTTGAACAAGAAGGGAAAAATGTCACCTTCAAGTTTGGGGAAAAATGAAAGGCTATTTTTTATTGGGCTTTGTTTTTAAAAACAAGCCCATGTTGAGAAGTTTTTCTTTTTATCCATCCTCTTCATGGCCAGCTGAAATATTTACAAAGAAAACTAAAGATTGAACTCAAATTATTAATTTATTATTAAAGGTGTGATTTTACAGCTTTCTCAAAAATATCTGTTATTTAGATAGATACTGAATACAGGGGATAGTGATGCTTTTGATTTCCTGGGAGCACCTGCCCTTCCTGAGCTATCATGTACAAAACAATTATTTAATATTCTGTAGTTGCATCTGTTATATTGCTTTCCAGATGTTTGTATAGCGAGAAGCAAGGCATCCTGTATTCAATGCCTTTGCAAAAAGCAAGGCATCCTGTATTTGATGTCTTTTCACTTGTTTACACTTAATAACAAAAGTACTTCTGGAAAGAAGCTTGGTACTATACTGAGGCTGCATGATTTTTTTTGTTTCTTTGTTTGTCCATAGGGCTTTTAGAGAATTTGTTACTCAAAATAGATATTTTTCCTGCTTTTCTTTCAGGGAAAATAGCATCGATTGTACGGATTTGCCTTTGGATTTTGCTCATCTCTCTATTAGGCAGCTTCCCTGGAGGCAATGATGCACAACTCCCTGAGACTACTAACAGCACAGGGTGCAGTTCACCACATCCCAGTTCCCTGGGGCTGATAGCAGCAATTCAGAGGGGAGCTTTAAACCATCATGGTGCTTCTCCTACACATACTCATTTGCTGTGCAGCAAACGCACCGGTACAGCCTTGTGTCAGGTCCCAACGCTCCCAGCCCACACTCTGGGGCGGTCTCTCAGATTATGGAAGTGATTACGGCAGCTCTCTTTCTGTATGTATTTCCATGCCAGCTGTTCATGCTCCTTCAACCAAGGAGTGCTAGGTAATAGTTCCGAAGAGAGAAGTAAGAAGATAAATTATGGTGGAAATGGGGCATGAGATGAGGTGCACTGCTACAGATGGCAAAGCTGCTCCAAAGGAAAAGGGCTCAAGAGAAGGCTGATATGCTAACAGTATTGTAACTATGTTTAGCTATAGAGAACCAGCCTGCAATGTAAGTTAATGAAGAAGCAGGTTGCATATTTTTTGGTCTAATATCATTTCATTTTCTGTAAAGGATACGAGACTATGAATAGAAACTTAGCAGAAGGGAGAAAAAAACAGCCCAAAGCTTGTGCAGGGTTCATGTATGCTCCAGCTCCAGGCTCTGGTTAAGTTCAGAATGGCCTTGAAAACCCTAGTGGCTTTTTTTAATGACAGAATTGCTTTTGAAGCAAACCACTGATGCTGCTGACAGCTATTCAGATATTTGAATGCTAAGTCTCTTGCTGTGTATAAATGTTCTTTATTAAATAAGCCTACTTACAAAATTTTTCATCTGGTTTCTAGCATCATATTCAAGTTGAACACTTAAAAATCTCTGACATTTGGAATTTCTCTCCTGTTGTCCCATTACAATGATGTTGCTTTGGAACAAGATGGTTGCCAGCAGGAGATACTGAAAAGTGCCAAATTAGATTTCAAATGCATTGTGCTCAGTGTTCATGGTGAGGATTACGTCTTCACTAGATTTGCTGTGCTCAGCAAAATGAGCTCAAGTTACTTTAACCTCTTTGTAGTACCAGTTTTGTTGAGTCTTTAAGGGCATCTTAATGGCTAGTGCCCTTGACAGCTTCTTCTGTGCCCTGACATCCATGGTGTAGATCCTGGGGAATCCTTCCATCCAGTTAGTCTCTGGTCCATCATCTTTGTACCCTGCTGCAGACTTGAGAGGCGTCTCTGGGAAACAGGAGGTTGCTCAGCTGTAACCTGTTCTCTTGTTATGGCCCTGCTTTCAGGGAGCCTAGATGAGGCAATGAAAATTATAGCAAAGTGAAGGCGAAATGTTTATGTAACCCACTTACTTCTGCTAGATGTGAATGATATTCCGTAACTGGCTAGTTACTGATCCTTCATAGCCCAACAAGTACTTTTAATTCCTTTTTATAGTTGCATATTCAGTTCCCAAATTCATATTTTGGTTTCATTGCATATCCTTCTCATTAGCATGCTAGGGATAGCCTCTAGCTATGTGTGCACGTCTGTGTATCCATTTTGCATTTGAGGCAATTAGCTTAACTGATATTAGGAATAGACACTAATTGAATGGGAAGGAAAAAGTAGGCAGCAACAGGCTAATGACAGTTAAGATTGTAAAAATAAAACATGTGTGTGTATGTGTATGTATATATGTATGTAAAAGAAGCTTTTTTTAAGATGTCAAATAAGCCTGACAAAAACTTGAACTCTCACAACGTGGACTGTGTAGCATGCCCTACTTTGTACTAGTGGGTAAGCAGAAAGACAAAGTATGTGTTATGTTTAGTTTTATACAGTAAATTGCAGCCAGATATAAGCAAAGAGAGAGAAGTTCCAGGCCTATCAGTAGACTTTTGTCACTCTCAAGTTTCTACAAAATGAGCAATACTGAATTATTGAACTTGCTGTGGCAAAGCCCATCCATAGCATCGATAGTGTAGATTAGGTATTTGGTGCTTAAAATGGAAAAAAAAAGGTAAAAAGCTTTGTATTCTGTTTTTAATTAAAATGATTGTCCATTTAGCCAGTAGTTGACAGTACATTTAACCTGCTTGTGCCCTGTGGCCCTTAAGTGCAGCTCTGAAAAATGCTATGGCTATACTTTAGATACTTTACAATCTAACTAATCCATTTTTCTCTCTTTTGCTAATCTCCAGAATGCAACCACAACAGCGTCGAGTGTTCACAGCTGCCCTTCTGGCGCTCGCTTTCCTTCTGGCTGCTCTGAGCACCACTGAGGCTGGCAAAAAAGAGAAACCAGGTAAGGACCAATGTAATCCAAAATTAATCCCGGAGGTAGATTGCATGGGTGGGAGATGTCAAAGGCTTCTGATCTTGTCATGAAATTCAAGACAGTCATTAACCTTTTGACTTACAAGGAAGGGATTTGTGGCTGTAACATGTTATTCTACCTTCAGTGGGAAAACAAAAATGAGTTTCCATGAAAACTGCCAACTAGACAGCCCCAGAGACTGAACTGCTCAGTTTATTAAAGAGCAGGTATTGCAAGTCAGCTTTCCTTTAAATTTGCTCTGGGTGTGAGTTCACGCTTGAAGAGAGAACCACAGAGGAGCAGTTATGCTGCTCACTCAGTGCCGTATATGAAAATGCTACCAATTCTGTGTGATGTGGAAATCATTCAGCAGAGAATTGAACCAAGCCTCTGCTTCAGACAGACAACCAGACATCCAGTGGTAATTGCTTCCTGTCAGTGACGAACTCAGACCTCATTATAGGTAAGACAGGCCTGAGGTGGAAAATTCACATCTGTCATATCCAGTTTTAATGATTTTTATGGATGACATCTTTTAGTGTTTTATTTAAAGTCCCACTATTCAGAAACTACCTACTTGGTTATTATGACCTGTGAGTCCTTATAATTAGCGTTCTCATTAAAAAGAATGTTTCTAGTGTTGGGGCTGTATGGAGATATGAGAAAATGTGAACCAAAATACGGAAAAACTAAAAATGATTCCGTACATGTTATTTAAAGCTGCTTGTGCTTAAGATCTTTTGAACACTTAGGTTTGATAACATTGCTAATTTTTCTCATCAAATGTAAATTTAATGATTTAAATGAAGACCCTTCCTTTTGTCCTGGAGCAGCAAAACTGTTATATTTGCAGCATTTAGAGGTGTTCTGATCAGATTCTGACCATTTAGATGTAGATAATCAGCAACCTTACTAAATTTGCATTCAAATACCATGCTCCATCTAGTTTGTTCTTTCCTTTGAAGTTCAATTTGTAGTCTGACACAGACTAGCATGCTGTGCAAATGAAAAGTTTGCATCCATACTATTCCTTGAAGGTGCTTGAATCCTCTGATGGCATGATGTCAGCACATAAATTCTTACGTGTATATTATGTAGGGCTTCAGTTGACACTGAAAATATTTATTGCATGTTTTGATCATTGATCTTAGAGGGTGTCTAGAGACTAGTCCCTCTTTCCAAAATGAGAATCCGCTCCAGAATATCTGTGTGGCCCAATATACAGTGAGACTGAACTGCAGTGAAGTCCAGGAGGCTGACCTGTCTCTATAGACCTGTGAGGACTATGCAAATTCCTTTGCTTTTGAAGAAATTCTTTTAAGAGTATCTCCTTTATCTATTCTTTCATGTGTAATGACTGTTTAGCAAGTCTAATGAATGGAAACTTTTCAATAAGCTCTAGGTACTGACCTCTTCTCTTGCTTACATTTTCTTCCTTGGCATCAACCAGAGAAAAAGGCAAAGAAGTCCGACTGTGGGGAATGGCAGTGGAGTGTCTGCGTGCCCACTAGTGGGGACTGTGGCCTGGGGACACGTGAAGGCACTCGCAGTGGAGCTGAGTGCAAACAAACCACCAAGACTCAGAAATGTAAGATCCCCTGCAACTGGAAGAAGCAATTTGGAGGTAAGCTTCACTCTCCCAAGCTATTTGCTTAGTTTTTTTTAGCCTAAGTTTGGAAAAGGAAGTCTATATTTTCTGTTTAGCTCTGACAAGTGTCTTGGTGAAGGGCCTACTTTTTTTTATTTCAAATTAATTGCAACTATATTGTGTAAGGCTATGAGAAGGCAGCCTCCTCAGAGCAAGCAACCACTGTAGCAGACTGTCTGTGTAACAGACTTCTTATAACCTCATGTTTACCCTGCTCTCCTTTGATGGACAGTCATGTTTAAGGCAGCACTGTAAGCATCATTTTTCTCTCACAGTGTGAATCTGTGCTATGGGTACCATGGTCTTTACGTGACCTTATGATATATGATTTGTATCATGGAGCATGGGTAGTCACTGGAGTGGGCACTGAAAGGAATGAATGAAACTAGTGAACTTCATCCATACGGTTCAGAAAGATATGACAGGCCTGTCCTGGACAAGATGTCTGTCCAGGAGTCATAGCTGATTACTCTTGAAAACTTAGCTTTTTCTCTGGTAAACAGCTTATAGGACTTTGACATGATCATGACCTTATCAAGGTAATCAGTGCAGCACTTCCAGACTTCACAAATTCATTGCTCTATATAAGTTCTTAAAACTATTTAAGTCCTGTTTGCTGTCCTTTGACATCAAGCAAATGGAGTGTCGGCCGTATTGAATGTGAACAACATACCCCGCTGTTGTTTTTTCTTTCTATGTATTTTGTAATTGCATCGTTGCTTGTGTCTTCCTTTATATGATAATAATACCATATACGTGCCAATTCAGAGAATTCCATTTTAAAGCATTTTTCTTTGGGGGCAAATTTATCCCTGTAACTGCTCTTTAAATTTATCTTGGGCTTGCTTTCTTTGCTTGCATGATCCTTCTGTCTACAAGCATTGGTAGTGCATGATTTCCTGTTGGATAACTTTCTTGTTTCATGCTCAGTCATTCTGTTTTAAAAACGGCCATGTATTCATTTCTCGCAGCGGAGTGTAAATACCAGTTCCAGGCCTGGGGAGAATGTGACTTGAATACTGCCTTGAAGACTCGGACTGGGAACCTAAAGAGAGCTCTGCATAATGCTGACTGCCAGAAGACTGTCACAATCTCAAAGCCCTGTGGGAAGCTTACCAAACCCAAACCTCAAGGTAAATTCCAGTTGCTGACAGGTACACACTAGTTGATTTAAATCCCTGGATTTGTGATGTCCCACATGCTTCAATAGGAACTTAGCAGTGTGGAAGAAATTGTACTTTCTTGGTCTTTCCTCAGTGCTGCACTTCTGTGTCTAATCTCCCAGCTGTCAGGTGGACAATATTCTTGAGCTGTGTAGTCACAGCGGGCTGACAGACAGGAGTGAGCTGAAGATTAGGGCCCTAATTGGAACCTTAGACCACTTCTGCTACTACCAGTTTGCTGATGCTCACTAGAGTACAGATGCTTTCCCCAGCTCATTCGCTGACATGAACACACCAAGAATAGCATGCAAAAATGTCTCTTACAAGATAAACATATCTTTCATATAGATTGTATTTGATAATGAATGACTGTTTGAAAGGGCCTGCTTTCCTTCTGGGCAGGTGGTAAGGAAGGGATGAAATGGCTCTCTAAACACTGAAAAGAGGGTATGTGAATGAACGTTCTGCATGCTTTGGGTTATAAACTCTTCTGGGAGGGGACAATGACACAATAGGGAATGCGTGTGTCTCATTTAACTGCAGCTGACAATGTAGTTCCTAGCATACAGACAGGTATAGGCCTTGTCACTGCTTTTCTGTTTCCAGGTCTCTCTTGGACAACCTTACTTCCTTTCTAATTATTAAGGGCTTTAATGTACACATTTGCTGAAGTAGTATGATGTATGTAGGATAATTTCTATTGAGAGATGAAATTGTGAGATTTTTTTTGAAATATAGATATGCTTTAAGTGCATGCTATCAGCTATGCTACTGCAGCATTTGTTTGCTGAAAACCACCTGAGGTTAAGCATATTCCAGGCTTTGAAGATTTTGATTATTAAAAAATATATTTAATTAGGATTGACAGGTGGATTTTGCGTTAGCAATTTTCAAGCTGTGGACTTTGGCGCACCAGTAATCTAAGGGGTACTTTTAGATGGCCCATGCTGTTTGTGTTGTCTGAAAAACATCTGATTAGGTTGCAGGCCTAATCTGAGAAACCCCTAATTAGGTTGTATTCTTTGTGCGTAGCTTCATCCATCTGCTTTACATATGACTCAGATAACCACTGAGTCTAGAACCTACGTGGATAAGGGGAAGCTGTGAAGCAGAGAGGATGCAACTAGATTTTCGGAGATCAACTGACTTCACCGGGTTGACAGCAATAAGCATCTTCATTTTGGGGTGGAAAAACTGAAAGGGAATAAGTCCAGGAGGAGCTCTGTAATTTTATTGCTTAATAGGTTGGAAGAGGACCCTTTTTTTTTCTTTTTTTTGGATTAAATTTCCATATCTGAGTGTCATTGGGAGTTTCCTTATCTTTGCTTGCCTTGTTTGGCTCTTATTGAATCAGTATATTCTATTAGTGGCTGTAGGAAGAGGGAAGAGGCAGACAGCGCAGAGCGTTGATGCAGGATCATTCTGTGAGAGCAGTGCTGTTGGATGGTCCAGAGGAGTTTTCAAGCTGTAGTTTTAAAGGCAGCATCTCAGTAGAGCTTGCTGAATTGGAGTAATTTTAACTGAGGCCTAAATGTGAGTGATTTGCAGCTGGATTTGGATTGTGAAACCTGGGCTGTGTCAGACTGCAGCAAACATAGTTATGTGATGCGACTTAAATGAGAAACCAATCTTCATTTGATTTGAAAGAAAGTGAACAGAGAGGTAGGTACAAATGTCAGTTGTGATCATAAGCACTCAGCAGAAATTCTGCTCTTCTAATTTGCGTGAGAAATCTTATAGCATCTTCCTGCACGCCACCTGTTTGTTCATCTGCTGTTGGCATTAGTAGGAGTAGGGTTAGAATGTGTGGAAATAAAACATAGCAAGTCTATTGAGGCCTTCCACTATAGATAAGACATGCATATTGCATGACAAGAGTCTGTGTATAACTTCATAGGAGCTACATGGGACAGTGTATTAGCAGTACTAATAGAAGCTAGAATAAGAAATTAGGTCACTGAGATTATTACTATAAATCTGAACTTCATTTTAAAAATCTGAATGCTGAAATGTTAGTGGTAATAAGAATCTGTATTTCTGTTTTCTTCCTGAGACGAAAAAAAAATTGCACACTGGAGGCTAGTCCCGTCTCCCCCAAAACACAAACACATCTGGTCAATGTAGAGGAAAAATTAAACCATGTTCCATGTATAGCTAGAATAGAGCCGAATGTAATTCTTTGAAGAGTGATGGATAATATGTTTATTGTTTGATCACCTGGAGTGGAGTGCAGGCATATAGTTGCCTCCCTCTTCACTCATGGCTAGCCTCACATCAGTGGCTCAAGACTACAAGAGAAAAAAGCATACAATAGCTATTTTGGAAGAAACATTTTTCTCCTGAGTTCACACTGTTGTATAAGGTCTGTATTTTTATGCATCTGGACCTGTAAATGCTGATTAACTGCAGTCAGCTCCCACAGCGATTGCCTAGAATAGTAAGGCAGTGGCTGTGTTGCAATTGTTTACTCTGGAGAGTAGTGAGGGTCTTATTGATTAAAATGATGTACTCCTCCACTAAACTGTTATGTTTTTGTCCAGTATATTCTTCAAGAGCAACATCACTGAATATATCTCTGACAAAAATAAGTTGAGTGTACCAAAAGTAGATGTGAACTGACTGAGAACATGCAGTCCTTTTCACTGAAAAATACCAGTGTATTTTTCTAACAACTAAAGAGTTGTTTTTAATGATTTTGCTGACTAAATCCCTTTGCTTTGAAATATTCTTTTTATTAGGGTTGTGTGTGTAACCTATTACATTGCTTTTTCTTTTGGTTTGATATTATACATAGAGGCAGCAAAGGCTCCCCATTTAGCTTCTCCAGTCAACCGTAGTTTTGTATGTCTTCTGTTATTTTCTGTTAGTTGCCTACTTTTAAAGCTCAAACCTTGGACTTTTAAGTATTTTTCTGCATAACAGTTTATCTGTGATAAGAATATTCTCTACTGGACTTACTTAAATTCCTTCTATTATAGCTGATTTTTTTTTCTGAGATGAGGTGGCTGGACTACACACAATATTCCAAGCATGTCTTCTACTGATTTGTGTTGAAAAATAGCAGTGTAGTGTTTCCTTTATTATTCATCATTACACTCACTAAGTGTAATATAATTAAACTAAATATGATTATTATTATGGTCACTAAACTAAATATGTTTTTCTTTTCATCACTACTGCATGTGGAGCAGATATCTTTATCTGAGCCTTTCACTCTTGTCCCTGAGTCTTACCATTTTTTAAAAGATGAATTAGCGCATTTACTTAAAAATTCAGGAAGGTGTCTTGGTAAGTTGGATTGTGTCTCCTGGTGTTGTGCATTGAAGTCTTGTGTATTGAATTTCACCTGACACAATTCTGTACTGTGGCTTGGAATCTGAGTTTCCTCCTCACATTTTCTACTCTTAGAGAATAATGCAGATAAACTGAAGGCATCCATAACTGCTGCTATCCTCTTGGCTTATCCATGTTTCCAGTTCATGAACAGCTCCATGCAGTAGCTTTGCTCATAGGGTGAAGCCATTAGAAGATTTTTTTTTTCATAAGAGTTTGTTCTTTGTTAAACCAAAAGGAAATATATGTCCGCAGAAAAATCCCAAAGCATTTTGTTTTGCAGATTTTTCCAATGGAAGTTTATTTTGTTTTTACAGGAATTTTTATAAGCTGCTCCTAAATTAAACTGGGAGATACTCATTAACCTCAGGAACCAATGCCTGCCTGATAACCTGGTAATCTAGGAGTCCTTAAGAACTTGTTTTATCATCATCACTAGTCAGTATTCATTACTAGTCGGTATTCATAGAAAAGCCTTAAAATGGTCTTGAAACACTCCCATTAGTTTGGAATTTTACCTCTTGGATAACTTTTCTTAAAAATATGTGTGTTTTTTCCCTCATGAGCAGTTGCTCTGTCTCAGTGTTTTCTCTTTGGCTAATACTTCCAAGCACCCAACTTGGATTGTAGGCTGGGACAGTTGGACATCTCAGAGCTTACTGCTTGTGAGAGGTCAACTATTAGAGAAACTCTGCTCTATATTAAATTTAAAAGACAGCTGATGGTGAATCAGGAATTTGAAGCTCATCTGGATTTCTCATGAGCTCTCTTCCCTAGAGCTTTTCTGAGGTGTTCTCAGATTGGACGACAGCAGCTTGGGCTGCTGGGCCAACGTACAGCTATCCCAGAAGCAAAGTTGTTGTACGTTCTTGAATCTTGTTCTTTCATTTTGAGAGAGAGATTGTCAGCAATGTGGCAGTGATATCCCAGACACTATGTTGTGTATTTAGTACACAAATGAGGTCATGAGAAAACATGTCTCAAAGGCTGGAAAGGACGAGAGAATAATTTTTACCACAGAATCCCAGCAGAGGCAGCCCCATCTCCTCCCACACACACAATTGCATATTCTAATCAGTGTCTGCAATGCCAGGGATGCTCAAGGTCTCCCTAAACTATTTTGACAGATGTGAAAGAATCAGGCACTTCTGTGGAGCAGTTGCTCTCAAGGCCAGCTTGCACTGGAGAGCAGAAAAGGCCGCTGACGAGCTCCATCTGGCCTGCTTCACGGCCACCCAAACGTGATTGATGATTGTTCAAGTTCCAGCCAACAAGAAAGCAGAAGAATGGGGTGTTGTCAGGAGTCAGGAAACATTTTACTTTAGCTGCTGAGAAAGGAGGAATTTACTTTTAGTGAGCTGGGTTGCCTGGTAGTCTTCTCTTTCTTTTGTCACTTTGCCTTTATGTCACTCTGATTCTTCCTGTCGCTTTCTCAATCACTCTTGTGCTTTTAGCCGTAATTCTTCTGATGAAGATAAAGTCAAATAGAATAAGCAAAGACTACCTGCTCTTTTTACAAGGAGCCCATTGCTTTTTTCAAATTCAGCTACTTTTTCTCAGGTAACTTTTTGCACCCAGTTGTATTTATTTCTTCCTTATTACTTTCTTATATACAGTTTATAGTATGTCTGATTGTG